TTCAATTAAAATTAATAATAATTAATAATTTGTTTTGTTTTGTTCAGGCCAGGCTGGCTTGCTGGAAAAGCCAACTTTTTAGGGCGCGTCGGAAGGACCGGAGTTTGGGGATTATGCGAAGCTCCGGGGGCAGCTCATTCCAGAGGGAAGGCGCTCCCACAGAAAAGGCTCTCCCCCTAGAAAGTGGTGTTTAACCACTGAGCCATCATGCCCCTTATGGTGGGTAGGTTAATATCCCATTTTTTTCTTCCAGCTGCTTCATTCAAAGTATACAATATTCCCTTAAGTTTGATTCTCATAAAACAATCCTACTTAAGTATCTATGGAGGTTCTCAAATCATCCAGGTCATGATTGTCCCAAAGGTGTTGAAGAAGTTTCTTGGATGAGAAGCAAAACGTTTTCAAGGGAAAAAAACCAAGAAAGTCCTTTGGAAAAGCACCTTTGGGATAAACAGTGCAAGGTAATATTTGAGATGGGTAAGCTAAAGGCTCCAGCACTGCAGGTGTGTGACATAGTAGTTCTCACTTTGGATTATTGTCCTTCCTGCTACAGCAGAACTGCCTGCAAGGAGGATCAACTTTATCAAAATGTGGCTGGATGATCAAAGATTGGACTTTTTTAATCTATTGTGATCCATGTAATATACACATTGTGTTAAAAGAGGGTTCGGTTTCAATTGACCAGCACTTCACACCCAGCACTTTGGTGCCATTGATTTCGTTGGCTCATTTCCCTGTGCTCCAGCCTTCCTCCAAAAAGCAGAATAAAACCTGGCCACCCAAGGATGCCAACACCTGTCTTAATCAATAATATCCATCGAGTTGAATATCCATCAAGTGGTGAGCCTCAAAATAATTGTCCTACTGTGATTTATATTGAGATGGGTCAAACTAAGAGAAAGATGATTTGAGCTCTCTGAATCCCAGCAGATCAATTCTTGGTTTATTTAAATATTTTTACCATTAGGTTTTATGACACAGAAGCCAAACAGAATTTGGCAGTTAAAAAAGCAGCTTCAGAGTTACATAGTTATGTTAAACCAATCCCCTTCAAAAATAACTATATATTTCCAAGAAGAAAGATAACAGAATAGTCTTTTCTCTTTCTTTGTTCCTTTTGCCCTTTATATTTGAAACTGACAAAGCAAATCAGCAGCAATAATACAGTACTAACTGATCTGAAGACTTCCTGCTACTAACTCCGAGGTCCTGATCTTGCTCTTTGGTTCTGATTTTCTACAAGCATTTCATATCCTCAAGCTTTTTTGCTGTTTGATGGTAATCCAAATAATAAGTGTGCAATGAAGGATATTTATTTTGGAAATGGCTTTGCTACCTGGAGGAGAGAAGAAGTGATCATATTTGTGTTAAGGAAGAGTACTTGTATATCTGCAATTTTTTCAAGACTGAGAGGCAAAACAGGAGCTTTATTTAACCCTGCAGTAGATCACACTATATTTCTGTGGTCTTATGTTCCTACAGGGACTCATCATTCTTATTTGGCTCTTTTTCTTAAAGGAGTCTGCATCGTTCCTTGTTTTGTTTTGTTTTTTTAATTTAAAGCCATTAGGAACTGTTTACCACATCAGGTCCCATCACTTTTTGCCTTCCTGAAGTAAAAGACATTCAGTGAATATCAACAGACTAGAACCAGCCCATAGAGAGAGCTCAAGGGCATGCTTTCTTTACAGGGCTTATCCCTCCTCCATGTTTACAGCTTGTTAAAAAGATTCAGCCTGAACTGATAGGATAGATTTCAGCAGGACAATTATTTTTCCCTGTCTTATTTTTAAATAGTGATCAAACTCCAAAGCCTTTTACTGCAAAAAAAATATTGGTTCGATAGTTCTTTCTTACACTGGTGTAATAGATACAATCCATGAAAGGTAATGCAAGAAAGTGCTGGAAGTAGTAAGTAGGTAGGTAGATTACACCAGGCCAGGGGTAGATTTCTGCAGCATTACTGCTGGTTCGGTGCGCATGTGCACATTGGCACATAAATAGGTCTGTGCATATGCAAAATGTAAAAAAAATGGACAAAAAATTAAATTTGTGCAATGAAAATTGTTCTGTGCATGCGCAGAACCATAAATCAAGATGGCGCCGCTGTAGGAGAACCGGTTTGGCGGCGTGGCAGGCCTGGGCCGCTGCCAGTTCCAGCGACCCAGGCCACCAAACCACTTTTGGTTCAGCCGTACCGGACCAAACCAGTAGGAACCCACCATTGCACCAGGCTAACGAGAAAAGTCCATATAAAAGAATATTTCAGCAAGTAATAGAATAGCTTAATATTTTCTCTTCCTGTTGATTCTAGTCTCCCTCTGATGTGGACATTTAGTGTGCGGTCCTGCTGAAGTTTGTTTGCTGATTGATTGATTGATGTGTGTGTGTGTGTCACCCATCTCATCTAGAAGTCACTCTGGGTGGCTTGCAAACATTAAAACCGGTAAAAAGGATAAAACAAATCAATAATGATAATAATGAGTTATCATTAAAAGATGGAGGTGGGGGAGAAGGGAGTACGAAGAACACAGGGAGATGTAGGGTCTTTTGTAAATCAGATAGCCACCACAGAGTGTCCCTCCCTCCCTCCCTCCCTCCCTCCGTCCCTCTCTCTCTCTCTCTCTCTCTCTCTCTCTCTCTGTCTCTCTCTCTCATAATGGTTGCAAAGTCTTGGCCTGCTGAAAGTTGTTATTCAGCAGCCTCTGGAGGTGCATTACTAGATATTGATTTAACAAGAATCTGATTATTATGGCTCCTTTCTAAGACTCAACATAGTTCTGCAGTCTTTAGATCAGATGAAAAACTGGAAAAGCTGCAAACACAATTATATTTATGTATCAATTTGTTCACGGTGCCTGAATACAGTGCAGTTCTGTGATACATGGCTAGCATTGTACTACACTAGTTGTAATACAACTAGCATTGTTCTATATTAATACTAGTCTTTGTGCAATAATGTCAGAATGTTCACAATATTCAATGTAATTAGAATTACATTTATGCAATAACAGCTCTAGTAGCTTAGCTTTTTCTACTAATCTATAGCTTTTACTATACATTGGGGAATACTATG